TATGGATGAGGAATTTGCTATGGACTGGGAGTTTGATAAGGATCAGGAATTTGACATAGATTGGGATTGGGAAAAACCGGGATTGGGAGAGGATGTGGAATTCCAGGCAGGAATTCCCGCAGGGATCAGCCAGTTCCAGTGACAGGGACACACTTGGCCCCACTGAGCTCCCCCAGCCTTTCCACCCAGCTCTGCTCTGCTGAATTCCAGCCTCAAATTCCCAATCCATATCAAATTCCCAGTCCGTACCAAATTCCCTCTGGCTCCGTCAACCTCAGTTCCTTGATCCACATAAAATCCATATCACATCCATATCAAATTCCCAATCCATATCACATTCCTGATCCATACCAAATTCCCAATCCATATCACATTCCTGATCCATACCAAATTCCCAATCCATATCAAATTCCCTCCGGCTCAGGGTTCCAGGGACAGTGACAAACTCGGCTTTGAAATCCTCACTGAGTTTCTCCAGCTCTTCCACCCAGCTCTGCTCTGCCAACTTCAATCCTCAATTCCTTGATCCATATCACATCCATATCAAATTCCCAGTCAAAATCAAACTCCTGATCCATATCTAATTCCTGATCCATATCAAATTCCCAATCCATATCAAATTCCCTCTGACTCAGGGCTCCAGTCACACTGGACACAAAACTCAACATTTAAACCCCCAGTGAGTTTTTCCAGATCTTCCACCCAGCTCTGCTCTGCCAACTTCAATCCTCAATTCCTTGATCCATATCAAATCCATATCACATCCATATCAAATTCCCAGTCAAAATCAAACTCCTGATCCATACCACATTCCCAATCCATATCACATTCCTGATCCATACCAAATTCCCAATCCATATAAAATTCCCTCTGGCTCAGGGTTCCATGACAGTGACAAACTCGGCTTTGAAATCCCCATTGAGTTTCTCCAATTCTTCCACCCAGCTCTGCTCTGCCAACTTCAATCCTCAGTTCCTTGATCCACATAAAATCCACATCACATCCATATCAAATTCCCAGTCAAAATCAAACTCCTGATCCATACCAAATTCCCAATCCATATCACATTCCCGATCCATACCAAATTCCCAATCCATATCAAATTCCCTCCGGCTCAGGGTTCCAGTGACAGTGACAAACTCGGCTTTGAAACCCCCAGTGAGTTTCTCCAGATCTTCCACCCAGCTCTGCTCTGCCAACTTCAATCCTCAATTCCTGGATCCACATCACATCCATATCAAATTCCCAGTCAAAATCAAACTCCTGATCCATATCACATTCCTGATCCATATCAAATTCCCAATTCACATCAAATTCCCTCTGGCTCGGGGTTCCAGTGACAGTGACACATTTGGGACACAAACTCGGCTTTGAAACCTGAGGGAATTCCTCCAGCCTTTCCACCCAGCTCTGCTCTGCTGAATTCCAGCCTCAAATTCCCAATCCGTATCAAATTCCCAATCCATATCAAATTCCCAATCCGTACCAAATTCCCTCTGGCTCTGTCAACCTCAGTTCCTTGATCCACATAAAATCCACATCACATCCATATCAAATTCCCAGTCAAAATCAAACTCCTGATCCATACCAAATTCTCAATCCATACCAAATTCCTGATCCATACCAAATTCCCAATCCATATAAAATTCCCTCCGGCTCAGGGTTCCAGGGACCGTGACAAACTCGGCTTTGAAATCCCCACTGAGTTTCTCCAACTCTTCCACCCAGGTCTGCTCTGCCAACTTCAATCCTCAGTTCCTTGATCCATAGCAAATTCCCAATCAAAATCAAATTCCTGATCCATATCTAATTCCTGATCCATTTTAAATTCCCAATCCATATCAAATTCCCTCTGACTCAGGGCTCCAGTCACACTGGACACAAAACTCAACATTTAAACCCCCAGTCAGTTTTTCCACATCTTCCACCCAGCTCTGCTCTGCCAACTTCAATCCTCAGTTCCTTGATCCATATCAAATCCACATCACATCCATAGCAAATTCCCAGTCAAAATCAAACTCCTGATCCATATCACATTCCTGAACCATTTTAAATTCCCAATTCACATCAAATTCCCTCTGGCTCGGGGTTCCAGTGACAGTGACACATTTGGGACACAAACTCAGCTTTGAAACCTCCATTGAGTTTCTCCAGGTCTTCCACCCATCTCCGTTCTATAAATCCAGCCTCAAACTCCCAATCCATATCAAATTCCTCATCCTTATCAAACACCCAGTCCTCTTCAAATTCCCAATCCATACCAAATTCCTCATCCTTATCAAATTCCCAATCCATACCAAATTCCTCATCCTTATCAAATTCCCAATCCACCCCAAATTCCTCAGCCTTATCAAATTCCTGATCCATATCTAATTCCTGATCCTTATCAAATTCCCTCCATACCAAATTCCTCATCCTTATCAAATTCCCAGTTCACTTCAAATTCCCAATCCATACCAAATTCCTGATCCTTATCAAATTCCCAATCCACCCCAAATTCCTCATCCTTATCAAATTCCCAATCCACACCAAACTCCTCATCCACACCAAATTCCCAATCCACTTCCAATTCCTGATCCATATTGAATTCTTGATCCGTATCTAATTCCTCATCCTTATCAAATTCCCAATCCATACCAAATTCCTCATCCTTATCAAATTCCTAATCCACTTCCAACTCCTGATCCTTATTAAATTCTTGGTCCATATCTAATTCCTGATCCTTATCAAATTCCCAATCCATACCAAATTCCCAATCCACTTCCAATTCCTGATACTTATTAAATTCTTGATCCATATCTAATTCCTGATCCTTATCAAATTCCCAATCCATACCAAATTCCTCATCCTTATCAAATTCCCAGTTCACTTCAAATTCCCAATCCACCCCAAATTCCTCATCCTTATCAAATTCCCAATCCACTTCCAATTCCTGATCCATATTGAATTCTTGATCCATATCTAATTCCTCATCCTTATCAAATTCCTGATCCTTATCAAATTCCCAATCCACACCAAATTCCTGATCCATATCAAATTCCTCATCCTTATCAAATTCCCAATCCATACCAAATTCCTCATCCTTATCAAATTCCCAGTTCACTTCAAATTCCCAATCCATACCTAATTCCTGATCCTTATCAAATTCCCAATCTACTTCCAATTCCTGATCCATATTGAATTCTTGATCCATATCTAATTCCTGATCCTTATCAAATTCCCAATCCACCCCAAATTCCTCATCCTTATCAAATTCCCAATCCATACCAAACTCC